TCTAATTTAGTTAAAATTATAGAGAACCGAACGTGTTGATCTGTATACAATGAAAGCAGAACGTAATAAGCAAGGAATAACTAATTTTGTGGGGAAAATGATCTAAATCTCAAAGTCCGTTAGTCCAAGTTCAGATGGGCCTCCCTTAATTACAAGCAAGCTATGGGGATAAAAGCAAAACATCCGGGACTCGGCTGTAACTTGTTTCGTCATAGGAAATTTAGATCTGAGCCAAAAACTGGTTTGAAATTGTATAGAGGAATTAACATATTGGTTCGTGAGGGGTTTACACATTTCACAGTGGTTCGTAGACGGTAGTTAGTCGGGTTATAGTAAACGATTTTAATTATGCTATACATACATATCGAGACAATGGAATAATAATATAACTTATTTAGTCAATTTAGGATATAGAGCGAAACATTTTTCTATAATCCTTTTTCAGACACATGGAACATGCACAGTTATACCGCGCACATCAAAATGCTAATAAATGTACTGTATGAAGTTCCTTTAAATTTACCTGAAGCCACTTTAAAGGGGACCAAACGTATGATTTGTAATGAAAGACAGCAGAACAGCACAGGAAATTTATAAGCATCAATGTGATGGGAGACAGTACATCAGTAAGGCTTTGCGAATAAGACCTCCAGTACTTGCCAGTTTAACGGCAGAGTGGGTGTTTTTTTTCTGATTTTGAGTTGTCACTAATCAACTCAGCTAACAGCCACAGCCCTGTATTGTAATGGTGATTAAAAGCTTCTTCTGTCTTGTTCCTGAGCTGCATGTTATTTGACAGGCTGCACGCTCCACAGTGAACTATAGGAGAGGAAGCAGTGACTGGAGGAGTTATGCATCCCTCTTTGACAGTGTTGCAAGCTCACAGGGCTTGGCAAGTCTTAAGGGGCTCTCTTGCAGAGCAAACCGGGGAGACCCGACTCAGGCATGGTTAGTGAACTGACATATCCCAAGACTGAAATGGAGATCCATCCATCCATCCAACTTCATCCAATTAAGGGCCGTGGATGAGCCAGATCCTATCCTGGCAAGCAGCGGGCACACCCTGGATAAGACGCCAGCCCATCACAGGGCACATACAAACAAGCACACACTCACACCAGGGACAATTTTCTCAGAAGCCAATTAACCTACCAGTATACTGTATGTTTGGACTGTGGGACAAAACCGGAGCATCCAGAGGAATCCCATGTGAACTCCAGGAGGACATACAAACTCCAAACAGACAGCACCCCAGTTCCAAAACTGAACACAGAGCCCTGCGCTGAGAGACAGGAATGCTAACCACTGTATCACCGTGCTGCCCTGTTCAACCACTCATGTTTAGTTATTTGTTTGCACTGCATGGGCAAATACAGTATTCATAAGGATTTGTAAGAAAAAGTGTCAACAGTAACAGTGTGTTTCATCTACAGGCTGTCTCTTCACAAGTGCCACCGTGGACCATGTCACTGATCCTGTTTGCCTTTGTGGTGCGGGTTAGGGATGGGCTCCCGCTGTCAGCGTCCACGGATTTTGAACACAACAGGGAATTGCATGAGCGCAAACAGCAGCTGAAGACGATATCGAAGGCACTGACATTGTTTCCAGAGAGAGGGACAGTGAAAGGCCATGAACTCAACATATAGTAGGTTCACTGTGGTTCAATTACTTGCGTCGGATCATTTGTTTTACTGAAGTTGAACGAACCACATTCCTCTACAAATTGTTGGTATAAATCCTCTCTCTTTGAATAGGAAACAAATTCATGTAGAAATCTCTGTGTGGGCGATAAGCAGCATTACTGTAATTATCAAGCCCTGATATTCCTAAAACATTAATTTAGTTAGATATTCCAAGAGCAGGCATTTTTGTTAACAGATTTTTTTTTTACTTTCTGCGTCTGGTATGTCTGAGTTCGTTTTGTCATCAGCTTAGAGCTGAATTAATGTTGAGCACAATAATTTCTACAGTGTAGCTGTTTTACTTGCCTTGTGTTTCAGCTTTATCACGTCAGAAGGAGTTTCCTACATGACTATTTGCTCCTGCGGATTCCCCACCACCATGGCCTTCTGCTTTCTGGAGGACCTCAGATGGGAGTTCACAGCAGCCTTTGACAGCACCACAGTTGCTCTGGCATCCAGACCGTATTCATTCCTGGAATTTGGTGAGCACAGAGAAGAAATTTAAAAAACTGTTCAAGAGCCATATTGTGCTGTTTTTTAGACAGTGACAATTTTTAAAATCCTTAGCTTGGTGTTAAGATGTAAAAGAAAAAAAGTGTCGATATACATGAATGCAGTTGAAAGATTGTAATTGAAATAAAAATTGTCCCATTTTGCCAAAGTAACTTAAATAGCTAGTTGCATAAATTCTCAACAAAAGGATGGTACATTTAGAAGTTAAGTCCTTTAACAGCATGAAATTTTATTTTATATAAACATAAAAGTCTCTGTGTTGCATTAATAGATGCTTATTCTGATTTTTTGCTTTGTTCATCCATATACCTGTAGCATTAGAAATATCATCTTTAGGATATGAATATTTTGCAGGAAACAAGTAAAGGATTATACATTTATAATACATTTATTTATTGAAGCGGAGTGGTGGCACTGTGACACTGTGGCTAAGGATCTGCACCTGTGGCTGGAAGGTTGCCGGTTCAAATCCCGAGGCCGGCAGAGGAATCTGACTCTGAGCCCTGAGCAAGGCCCTTAACCCCAGCTGCTCCAGGGGCGCTGTACAATGGCGGACCCTATGCTCTGACCCCAAGCTTCTCTCCCTGTCTGTGTGTCTGTTTCTCATTGAGAGCAAGCTGGGGTATGCGAAAAAAGACAAATTCCTAATGCAAGAAAATTGTATATGGCTAATAAAATGATCGTATCTCTTATTTTATTGTATGCAACATTCAAGGCTTTAAAAGTTTGTCAGTGCTGTGACAGGGAGTACCTACCATTCAATTGGGTGCTCTATAAACTCTTATTTGGTAGTTTTTGAAATTGATTTCTATTAAGATTAATCTTATCTTTTCATATGAATTAATTGTTGCTTTTCTCCTGAATTTGTACAATAATTTAGACGGTGTCATTCAGAAGATGAAGCATCAGTACAGCAACTGCAACTCCCTCTCACTCTCTATGAGCCTCATGGATATTCAGGAAGACCTCAGGGCAAGGCCTCCCGAAATCCTGAATCTGGAGGAGATGGTGCTGAGCAATGGGACAGCCAATGGGCACACAGAGCCTGTGTCCGGAGCTGGTGAGATTTGCATCTGGTTTAGAACACAAAACAATGTACTGTTATAAATCGGTTTTGATCATTTCACACCTGTGCGCCTCTTCAATCTACAGCTGTACATTCAGGTGTCTGTGGTGTCTTTTCATCACCATCAAGCATCGCATGAAAAGACAGTAGCTATTCCACGCAAGTGAAAAGTCAGTGTGGCAGCTAACACGCCTTTATAACACGCAATTAGGGGATCCAGTTTTCTTTGCCAGCCTTCAAAGAATAGGTTTGTAAGATTTCAAAGTTCCCTTCTTACAAAGACTGTTATAAATATACCCAAAGGTTCTTGATTTAACATTTCCAGTAGATGATGTATAGTGTTTGTGTTGGTTTACTTTATGCTTCATCCTTGTGAGCCTTAGGTGGAAGAATAGATCTTTGTGCAATTCATCCTGATTTCTAGCAACCACCTGATTACTCACAAATACTGTGGGGTCCTGATTTGTATAACATGAAATCATGAAATCAGACAAGATCAGACTCTAAGCTGGTGCTTAGGAGCACTTAGTGATAATCTTTTACAGCTGAGTGCCCATATTTTTTCATCTTTTAAGCATATGTTTAAAAGGTCTACTTAAATTAAGGAAAATAAAAGACACCTCCCTGGAGCAGGGTCCATGAAAAACTAATGCATTCTTATTCTGTAGTTTAAGATACTCTACACTTACTACTACTATTGCCACTACTACTAATCGTGTTCTTGAGCTTCTTCTTCTGTATCAGTCTCTTCCAACATCTGTCTGGTAGTGTCATTCCAGAATTGAGTTTAAAATCTCCATGATTCAATATACATTGAAATGTGAGGCCCCATGTCTCAGCCCTGAAATCGAGAATGCCCTTTCGCGAATGTGAAATGTGTGTTACGAATCTTAGTTTTTAAATTAACTTCAGTCATCTCTTCTGTTTCCTTGGTTTCATGTTTTTTTGGGGGATGCTGTTAAATATGAACATGGAATTTTGAAGGATCAAATCAAAGACTGGAGCCAGTGACAACCTTGGGGATCCTGTCCCTGGTTCTTAACATTATGTGTGCAGCTTTGAACCTCATCCGTGGAGTTCACCTTATCGAATACACTTTTCAGGTAATTCCTCAGTCCAGCAGCTCTTTGGGCAGAACTTGAAGCATTTGAACAATTTTTTTAGCCATTTTTCCATCCAGCAGTTCTCCCGATATTTCAAGCTTTGTACCTGCATGCTTTCCGGGTACTTAAGCAAAAGAAGGTCCTTCTTCACAGTCTTAGAAAATGTTAGAAAGTCATTTTCTCACACAATATAGAAACAACACAATACTCCTTTTAAATTAGGAGGCTCTGTATCACTGTGTCATAGTCATTGCCACGTGACATTATAATAATGTAGCTCAGCAGAAAAAGTAGTTGAATGATGTAACTTATATAACTTCTGTCTTTGGGTTAATTGAGGAAATAATTATATTTTAGGCAGAATTAAGGCACAATCTTTTTTGATTGAAAGTGTTTTAATTTATGTTCTGTTTGGAATTGTCTTCAACAGGATGACAATGAAGGAATATGGAATGTAATAGCTTTTCTGGTAGCTTTTGCCTGCTGTCTTTGTCAGGTAAGCAATATTTTTCACCTTTTTTAAAAGTGTTTCTCTTTATTAATTCACGGTCTATAGCTTATATTTTGGTACCTGATGTTAACATCTTTTGATTCTGGTTGTAATTTCTTTGAATACCCTGCCCTCTAGTGGTCATTTAGACACTAGCGAAAACATTATTATCTCTTGTCCTGTTTGTGAGAACTCTCCATATTTTGAGAGTGAATTTTTCTCCATATTCA